ATTGGGCTCCCTGCATTGGAGCCTGCTTCTCCTTCTGCCTGTGTCTCTGCCTCTCTCTCTCTCTCTCTCTCACGAATAAATAAATAAAATCTTTTAAAAAAATTTTTAAAAAAGCTTTAGTCAATGCAAAAAAAAAAAAAAAACCAGACTGATGTTTTTTTAAAAAAATTTGACACAAAGTAATAGAACCAATTTTACAAGCAAACTTGTGTTTCTACACGCAAGTTAATTGGGGAATTCAAAACTATATTGCAAATAATTAGAAAATAACTTCCTTTTACACTGTGAGACCCTTTTAAAGTAATAAAATTCAAATTCCTGTTCTTACAACCAAATACGTAAAGAACATATTTTTGTTTAAAGATTTGTTTTCTTCTTAATACTATGATTATTACATTAAGGCATAATAAGAGAGATTACTGGGGCACCTGGTTTGAGCATCCAACTCTTGATTTTGGCTCAGAGCATGATCTCAGGGTCATGGGATGGAGCCATGCGCTGGGCTCTTCACTCAGCATGGAGTCCCTCTTCCTCTGTTTCCCTCCCCCCCACCCCGCTTGCACAATCTTTCTCAAATAAAATTTTTAAAATCTTAATAAAAAAGGGGGGGGGCTATATCTACTAAAGGCTTGCTATGCAGCAAGCACTTGAGGGTTATGTATCTATCTCTTACCACAATTACCAGCAAGGCAGCAAGCATCCTTGCCCATTCTATGGATATGGAACTTGTTTAAAGACATATAATAGTAAGAGCACATTGCTAGGATATGAACACGGCACTCTGTAACTCAAATGCCAGTATTACTGCCACTTCATGTTGCCTTTGAAGTATAAAGTTTCCAGTTGTACAACTCTAATACTTTCAGTAAAGTTTGTTTTCTATGAATACTTGGGATTTGTTTCCTCATTGGCAAAATGCACTCTGAAAGATTTACAACAGATAAATCTGAAAAAATCTTCACACAGATTTGTGTGAAACTATATCAAAATAAACTTAAAAAAAAGTCCTCACAACACAGCCATTATTTCAAATTAAATAGTTTAAGAAATAAAAAGAAATCTTCATACAGAACTATAGTTTTCTGGGGGATAATTTGATGTTCTGTTTATGGACCTGGGAAAGAATTAACTAAAGTTCATTATTTTTACCAGATTCAAGGTCAAATCCTAAAAAGCCTAAGAAATAATTCTTAGTATTCCTAAGAATGTTAACCTAAAACTATTAACAATAGTAAATGATACAAATGACATTATACCAACTAGAATCTGTAGGTCTCTTTTGAGCAAGATAAATGTGAATATGCATGTCTAAATGTTAAAATAACTCATAACAGCATGCTAATTCAAAACAATTTTAGCCACATACAAATGGTCAGTCCACAGATATGTTTTAATTTTAAATCTTATGTTCTTGGGGCAGGGGCAGCTGGGTGGCTCGGTTGAGCCTCAGGCCATGATCTCATAGGTCATGGGACAGAATCCTGTGTCGGGCTCCACACTCAGCTGGGAGTCCACTTGAAGATTCTCCCCCCAAGATGCACCCCGCCACAGGCTCTGCTTCTAAATTAAATAAATAAATCTTTAAAAAATGTTTATGTTCTCTTAAAAATTTGTTCAATAATTTTATTCTATTTACTCAAACCTTTATATCATTAAATGAAGTCGTCGTGGCAAAAAAAATCTCTCAAGAAAACCTTTAAGTTTCCAAAATTGAAGCAAGCATTCCTCCTTCCTCCAAAATAGGGCACTTATTTTTCTTCCATTTTTTTCTACAGTGTCGCTTTCTTTCTGCTTTAGAGTTTACAGTATATCACAGGACATGAGTTTATTCAGGACCAGGAAAAATTATTAAAATATAAATGCCTAGATTACAGTAATATATATATCCTCTTTAGTCTGAATCCTACAAACTTGGAATCTATCTTACCTGAGAGTTCTACTTTTTATACTAAGAAAAAAGTTTAGAAGAAAAGTAATGTAAGATTTTAATGAAAAAATATGAAAAGAAAGTTTAGAATTCAATTTGAAGACAAAAAGGCAAGGATGAGTAGAAATGTAATTTATTCTTTACTTCATAAACAATTTTAACTTATGTGAAAATAACACAGCACCACAACACTAGGTAACTTTAATATGGTTGGGTTTAGGGCAGCCCGGGTGGCTCAGCGGTTTAGCGCCGCCTTCAGCCCAGGGTGTGATCCTGGAGACCCGGGATCAAGTCCTGCGTCGGGCTCGTGGCATGGAGCCTGCTTCTTCCTCTACTTGTGTCTCTGCCTCTTTCTCTCTGTGTCTCTCATGAATAAATAAATAAAATCTTTTTTAAAAAATATGGTTGGGTTTATAAAGATAGTGACCAGAAAATGCTCTAGACAGGTACGTGCTTTCTCCCAAGAAGAAGCTGTCACCTGGAGGAAGGTGATGGCAATATAACCCAAGTTTACAGGCTATTGTCTCTACTTTCCTCTTCAACTTCTAAAAATGTGAGCTAACAAAGAACTACTGTCCATGCTTTCCATATCAAATCCCTAGAAATGCTGATCCTTATTTTTTAATTTTTTTGACCAGTGATACAGTAACAAAAATCAAACAATATAAAAAAGTTTATAGTGAAAAGTTTGCCTCTCACCTTTACCCCCAGTCCATCATCAACCCAATTCCCTCTCCTATACCCCTTAAGAAAGTTTTCTTTCAAGTTCTTTCAGAGATTCATTATACAGTTCTTTATTAAAATAAAGTAGGACAGACATACTCACAAATTGTAATGCTTATCACTTATCTCAATCCAATGTGACCTAAATAATGCCTGACTATATTTGCTCAGTGCCTTCATGAAGTCTTTGATTCATGGCTGACAGCAAGGCTTTAACAAGCAGTACCTCAGATAAAGCAAAAGAATGGTGAGCACCGGTGACACCAACAGCTAGTAGTTGAACAGCCACAACCAATATAATCAATCTATAATGCCACCAGCAACATTAAGGCAAAAGAACTAGTTTTTATAAATTCCTATAACAGTATCTCCTTATTACACATCACCTACATCATAGTAAACAAATGTATGTTGAATAAATGAATAATAAATCTCCTTCAAGGCTGTCTTTGCAGGTTTGGGAAAGGGTAGATGAGCAGCCAGATACAGGAGAGGCAAGAAATTTTGTTCAAAACTGCCCTTCTAATGTCTTAAAGTTGCTATACTATTTTGGAAAAGTTAATCCAATGGTATGATTCTGAATCTACAAGAAATGTGAATCTACAAGAAAATTCAGTAATACAAAAAAAAAAAAAAAAAGAAACATCTGGTCAAAATTTCCTTAGTCATAGGTCACTTAAAAAATGTCCTTCCAAAAACAACAACAACAACAAAAAATGTCCTTCCTAATCTTAATACGACAAGCCCAAATTAAAATTAGGTATCTAATAGTCACGCTTACCATATCATATTTAGTTTAGTCATTTCAAAAAGCTGGGTTTTTACTATATATGTCTTTTACTGTACACTGTGGTACCTTTTACAAATCTACACTATATTTAGTCTTTCCTTGATAAAAGAATTCCTTTTCAACCAGTCTTTCTGACATAATGATGTACAGTATTGAATCACTCCAAGACAAAACAAAAAAAGTGTTCAGCACATTATTAGTATACTCAAAATTAACATATTAGCAAGGACACAAATACATTAGGTACAAAATTTAACTCTGTACCCAGACACTTATTTTTTTTTTATGAGCTAGAAATAAAAATAGAAGTGATAAGTACCAAGTAAGGGCACAAATAAGTGTCATAGAAATGTAGCATAAGGACAGTATTCTTGTGCTTGAAATGAACAGAACAATTAAAGAGGCAGTTGCTGAAGTGGATCAAGGAAGTTTGGTTTCAGGGAGCTGAAAACAGGGTAAGGCCTTCAGTGGAGAATCAACACAAGAAGCATAGTACTTTAAAATATCTAAGGCAGGGAATAGTGAACTATGTCCATGGGCCAAATCCAGTCCCCTGCTTGTTTTTGTGTAGCCTATAAACTACTAAAGGATTTTACATTTTTAAATGATAGAAAAAAATTGAGAGTATTTCATGACACATGAAAATTATGAAATTCATATGTAGAGTTTTATGGGCACACAGCCATACTATGCCCATTCATTTACCTGCTGTCTATGACTGCTTTCATCCTATAAGGCTGAGCTGAGTAATGGCAACAGAGACCATGTGAATCATGAAGCCTAAAATATTTACTATCTGGCCCTTGAGAGAGAAAGTTTGCCAACCTCCCGCTTTAAGAAAGAAAGCCTATGTGGCTGAGACATTATGAGTGAGGAGCTAAGAAGTGAAAGAAGCTAGAGAACCAAGAGACGCATGTAGGCCACAGCAAGGATTTGGGTCTATATTCTAGTAACAGGGAAGCCATTAAAGAATTTTAAGTAGGAAAGTGACAAGAAGATTTGCATTTTAAAAAGCTCATTCTGGTGATTACATCTGTAATCAGTATTAGGAGAAAAGTAAGGAGGTTAGTGTAGTAGTTTAAGCAAGATATGAACACAGTTTAGACCATGGGGCATGCAAAGTAAAATAAGGAGGCTGGACAAGATTATTTTGGAGATCCCTTTTCAGCTCTAAAATGTTAAGAATCGCAGGGCTTTCTAAATCTGGATTTGCAACTTTCAAGGGTATTTAAGATTATCACATACAAGTCTCGAGAATGTTGTACCAAAACAGCTCTCCAAAAGTCAGTAAATTAGAAATATGCCAAAAGAGCATCAAGCAACTAAAAAGTTTGGGAATTACTGAAGAATAAATGATCCTCTCCATTAGAATACTTTCTAAAATATGGTATATATATTTTGCAAGCTGGAAAGGATTAGTTTTATGAAATTTATATTTAAAGATTTACAGATCATAAAATATAAATTAACCCAAAGGGGGAACAAACACAAATATGGTTAAGTATATTTTCACTGCACTTTCTTTCCCATAATGTAGCAAAGATGAAACAAAGAACATACCTGCTACACTCTAACAATGTAACTTTAAGGCGGCCTTCAGTAAGTGCCCATTGTTGTATATGGATATGCTCTTCTTCATCTTCTTCAAATCCTTGCGAAGTTTGGAATGGAAAAAACGGCTTAAACCTGAGAAAAGTACAGATAAGACTAAATTTTGGGACAATAAACACCACAGTTTGAAGAGTAATAACAAAACTTACCTATAGGAAAACAACACAAAACACCTAATACTGCATGTGCCCTAAAAACCCAAAGCTTATCATATACTCTCCTACAACTAGCAGCAGATGGTGCCTTCTCTGTGGCACCCAGAACTCCTGTTTTCTTTTTTTCTTTCTTTTTTTTTTTTTTTTTGGCATGCCCTCATTGATAAGGTAGGACACTTAGAAAAAAGGAAACAAAAATCTAAAGACCACCATTAGGCCCTGAAACTTGGGTGGGCCAGGATAGATATTCTTTCTGGACCAGATGGGAAGAGTGTTCCTATTGTGCAAGATCAAAATTCAGAATGCACTGTTCCTGGAAACAATATAATTGATAGTAATTAGTACATGGTAATGATTAATAACAATTAATGGTGGTAAAGGTATTCATTAGAATTGTTTACTATTTGCCAGGCAGTATGCTAAGAGCTTTCCAAGCTTTCTCTCATGTAATGCTCACAATGCTTGAAAGGATGCTATAACTAGCTTCCCTTTCCAGATGAGAATAGTGAGTCGAAGAGGTTAAAGGATTTGCTCAATGTTACATGGTGGGTGGCAAAACCAGAATTCAAGGTAGTCTGACTGCATCAAAATCCAAACACTTCAGTTACCCATGAATAATTCAGGCCTCTATGTGCATATTCTTTAATACTCTGGTTTTCATGGAGAAACTTATGCTGTGTTATGAACTGTAGGCTTTAAAAACTTTAATTTGAAACACAATTCATATGTCTTCATTAAAGCAACGGACAAAGAAAATGAAGAGAAAATTGGGCTCAGCGACCTAAAGTTCTCAATTCACTTTATACACTGCCACTAGACATGGCATTTGTCTGCTTGAAGCTTCAATGGATTCTTAATAACTACACACAAAAAGACAGTCAAAAGTTCTTGATTTCACATCCAAGGTCCACCACAATTAATCTTTCCAATGACATTTTTTCTTATTAGAAACCTTCCTATCTAGAAAGTGTAGACACCTCACATACCCAGAAGATACCATACACATTCCTGTTTTCAGGCTTTTTGAACTAACTGGATGTTTCCCCTACATCTCAAAGCCTAGCCAAATCCTAAATACTTTCTAAAATCAGCTTTAGGTCCTAGATCACAGCAGAGCACACACACTGCTTTCACTCTTCTTTATTTTGAATCACTTAAATTGCCATGCATTTATGCCTATATGTGACCTGGTCTCACACTGTTTGTACCCCTCATGCACACAATCAGGGCTCAAGTATGTGTTGAGCTGATTTATGGAAATCCCACACTAAAAATGAAATAAACATTTAGAAAATATTAATAGCCCACTATGGCTAATATTGAAAGATACTGATACAGGGAGAGAAATACTGTATTGAACAGGATCAAAGGAAAAACTTTTTAGGGAAAGATACGTAGGTATACAAATAATGCTCAGTGCTTTTCTCCTGCTTCTGAACTAGGAGGGAGGCAGAGTCCTCTCAGTTCCTTAATTTGCATTTGAAGTCATTTAATTCAAATTGGCACCACATTTTTGAAAAGAAAAAAAAATTAGGAACTAAGTCTTATTATGTTAATACATTAATGTAATTGAGTGCTTTTAACATGCAAGCCTTATGGTTCCTGTAGGACACACCACTGTCTTTATCTTACAAAGATCACTATACTGGTACACAATCAACTCTGAATATAACAATCCAGCTAAGTCACAGCTGCTCTATGAATAAACTTTTCTTGCCATGTATAAACTTAAAATTCAATAAAAACATTTCCCACAGGTGTGTGACTTCAATGTTCTATGAAACAAAATCTTATTTGGTTTATTAATGCTGCTAGCAGAGTTTGCTAAGGTGTTTATGCACAAAAATACACTAAAATCACAAAACTGAATTCCATTTAAATATAGCACACTGAGGGGGTCCCTGGGTGGCGCAGCGATTTAGCGCCTGCCTTTGGCCCAGGGCGCGATCCTGGAGACCCGGGATCGAATCCCACGTCGGGCTCCTGGTGCATGGAGCCTGCTTCTCCCTCTGCCTGTGTCTCTGCCTCTCTCTCTCTCTCTCTCTCTGTGTGACTATCATAAATAAATAAAAATTAAAAAAAAATATAGCACACTGAACAGTGGGGTAAAGCTATTTGTTCACCAAGCTAATAAACAGAATCCACACATTCATATCCTCTAAGGACATCTGGTTTTCTAAGGTTTTATGTGCAAGGCTTTAAGTATCCCAAACTCATAAAAAAATCTAAACTATGAAGCAGGCTACTTCTGCCCCTCCGTTTTACCTTCTATCCTACATTATCCTTCTTCAGAATTTGTGAGCCTTTTTCTTCTGTTAACCAATCACCCTAAAAATGTTACTGTTTTGTCTTTCAAGTGAACAAACTACCTGCACTTCTTCCTGCAGAAGCCTTAAAAAGCAACCCAGAAAGATTAACTTCTGAAATGACAGCAGGAAAAGCTCCACTGACCCTCTCCACAATAAAACTGGTAGAAATTATTAAAACAAAAATAACAGAAACAAAATAATTAAAGCCTCTGAAATGGCCTAAGGGTAAACAGCAATGAAGAAACTTATATTCAAGAAAATCTACAAAAATTTGGTAAGAAAGATGAGAGTCTGTGGTGCCTAAACCAAGACTACTTCCCTCCAACAAGGTCAGCAAGATTCCACTCTAGACTGCCGCAGCCAAGAACACAAGTGGTCTCACATCCAGCTCACAAACGGCTTTCTTCCTGAGAGGAGCAGGATGGCAGTGTTTCTCATTCAGCCCTTTACTACCTAGGACTCCAGCTAAATTCCAGGCAGGTGTAGTCAAAGAGATGGGAGCTCCCTTCCTTGACCCCGTCCCCATCTGTGGAATGGAGGTTTCACCTTGGGTACAGTGCCCTGATCGTCTTTGCTCTGGCTCATGATGCAATGGCTCTATGCCAAGAGAGGCTAGCCTAAAGGACCTCAGGCTTCTGCCTCCCCTACCCATCTCACACCTAGCTTGGGGAGTTGGGGGTGTCACTCACAGAGAAGCCTGCTATTGTTCCCACCCCCAGCTCCAAAGCCCTGACTCAAAATTTTTGCTAAGTTGGTTGGAAAAGGAAAGGCAGGCCATAAAAAAAATTCCCAGTCTCTTCCCAAAAGAACTAATTTCTTAATTTACCATAAATTTACCATTTACCATAAAATATGGAGAAGCTCAAGCGTAAGTGTGCTCTCAAGAACAATGGAGGTTGTGACGTAAGGCAATTGGGAGGAGATTCATGGATTTAATGAAGATATAGCTTATAAAAAAGACTGCCTAATAGTTTACAGGAAATAAGACAGCTGGGGGAATCTCTCCCAGGTCAGGACAAATATCAAACACTGACCTCAGAAATTATTCCTTCAAAGAAGCCACAATTTGACTGGATTAGTTGGTAGAACAATGTATGCCTCAGGGTACTGGTGAAAACAATAGGCACAGTGGGGGTAGAGGGTAGACTTCACTAAAATAACCCACCAATCACTAAAAGCCAAACAAAAAATAAGCCCTGGGAGAGGGGGACCAGGGCTCAAAGCTGCTACAATATATTACCTAAAATGTTTAACTTCCAACAAAAATTGTGAAGCATGCAAAGAATCAGGAAAGCAGATTTACTTCTGACCCATAAAGTAGAAAGCAGGCAACACAAACCACCACTGAGAATCAGCAGGTGTTGGATTTAACAGGAAAGTTTTCAAAATAGCCATTACAAATATGTTCACAAAAAAAATTTTTTAAAGCATGATTACAGAGGTAAAAGTAGGTATTATGACAATGTCACATCAAAGACAGAATATTAATAAAAATATAGGAATTGTGCATATTAAAAAAAATCAAATGGGAATTCCAGAGTTGAAAACTGATAATTGAAATAAAAAATTCACCAAAAGGGCTCTCAACCATAAATATGAACTGGCAGAAGAAAAGAAGTAGTGAATTTGAAGACAGAGCAACAGAGGTTATGCAAGCCAAAGAACAGAGAGAAAAAAGAATAAAGAAAAATTAACTGAACCTTAGAGAAATGTGGGAAACCATTAAGAACACCAACACACACATAATGGGAGTGCCAAAGGGAAGGACGAAGAGGAGAGGAGAGAGGGGAGCAGAAAAAATAGTGAAAGAAATAACCAAGGCAGCCAGTAAGCCCTAAAGCCACAAATTAGATGATTCCATTCATATGAAAATCCAGAATAGAGAAATCTATAGAGACAGAAAGTACATTTGTACTTAGGGTTGGAGTGGTAGGAGGATCAGGAGAAAGACAGCTGAAGGGTAGGGGTTTTTTTCTTTTTGAGGTGGTAAAACTGTACTGTGGTGATGATGGTACATATCTGTGAATATACTAAAATTTGTTGAATTGTAAGCTTTACGTAAGTGAATTTTATGGAACATGAATTATATCTGAATAAAACTTTTAAGAAAAATCCCAACCCAGTTTACCCGGAAATAATTCTCTTGTTGTTTTGATACATAAATGTTTGGTTAGAATTATCTGATTTGGGCAGCCCGGGTGGCTCAGCGGTTTAGCATCGCCTTCAGTCCAGGGCGTGATCCTGGAGACCCGGTATTGAGTCCCACGTCGGGCTCCGTGCATGGAGCCTGCTTCTCCCTCTGCCTGTGTCTCTGCCTCTCTGTCTCTCTCTGTGTCTCTCATGAATAAATAAATAAAATCTTAAAAAAAAATTATCCGACTGAGAAACAAAACCATAAATGACAGCTCCATAAAAATAACCTATAGTAAAAAAATAAAAAATAAAAAAATAATCTATAGTCTCCTTTAAGGCTTATGAAAAACAAAGACTTATTAAACAGTTACCAAACCAGGTACTGACTAAAAACCACTTATTTGCTCACTTAATCCTTACAACTACCCTGAAACTGGGCTTTCGCAGGTCTAACCAGATCTTAGAAGTCTTACAGATA